GGGGAGAGCTTGGCGGCCGTGGCACCGAGCCGGGGTGCCCATGTGACTGCGGTGTGCTTGGGAAGAGGAAGCCGTAGAGGTCAGTGCAAAGGCGTCACGCCAGAGCGAGCGAGCGGGAGCGAGGGGGGAGACCCGGGTCGGCGCCTGGTGGGAGCTCGGGACGGCCGCCCGGCCGCGGGGGCCGGACACAGCCGCCGTGTCACGGCCACCCTGGCCGCCCCATGCTTGGGATCCCGGGGCGGGAGGGGCAGCCCAGGCCTGGCGGCCAGGAAACGAGGGACACCAGGAAGAGGGGCCTCCCCACCAGGGCAGCTCTGGAAGTGGCGCCCCAGCCCCCGAGGGGCCTCGGTGGATGCCGCAGGGTGACCCAGAGGGCAGATCAGACCCGGGCTCAACTTGGAGAACTTTCCGTGCGCACAGCAGCCAGCTTGCAGGATTCCTGTTTTCCACCTGCGCTGGGCAGGTTTGGCGTGGGAGGCTGGAGGGTGGGTGTGGTAGGGGTGGCAGGTCTGCCTGGCAGGCCTGGAGCCCAAGAGGTGAGCTCCTGTCCTCTCCTCCCAGCCGTGGGCACCCGGGTGGGTATCCAGCTGCATTGGAAGGGAAGCACGTTCCCTTGGCTCCGCCCCACATACACTTAAATTGTTTTCCCTAGACTGTTCAGCTGAGGCCTGGAGGGGGTGGAAACCAAGGTTAGATTTAAAAAAGAAAGAAAGGAAGAAAAACAACAAAAAAACAAGACGACGATGGTTTTAGGAAAATGAGGACTAATATTTTGAAGTGGTGCTTGGAGAGAAGAGGCCAGTGTGGTCCGTGGGGGTGGGGTGGGTTAGGGCTTCAGGACCCCCCCTCCACTTCCTTGGAGAGAAGCGCATCCCCCAGGCCTTCAGGCTGGGGACCGGGCTGGGCTCCGGCAGCCCGCGGGCTGGGAGGGTGTGGAGCCCAGGCTCGGGACTCTAACCACCCCGGTGCCAGCCCCGCAGCCTGCGCCTGTCTTCGTGACAGCCTGCGTCCTGTGCTGTCAACTACACCCCTCCGATGGGGTTGCTAGGCAGCGGCGCTCTGATGTACGGGAAGGCCTCCTGATTTGTCAGCCTCCTGCAGACACATGGTTAAGGCTCCTTCCAGCCTATCGGGAGGAGGGACGCGGCACGCCGCCTGCATACTGCCGAGCCCCGGGTCCACCTGAACGGAGGTGCAAAAGGCAGCCAGAGGGAGGGGGCACCTGGAGCCCTCCGCCTTCGAACCAGCTCAGCCCCACGCCCCCCATTATCTCCACTCGCGGCTCCTCCCTGCCCGTCCCCGCCCCGCCCCTCCCCTCTTCCCCAAACCATGGAAAAGCAAAGTGCAGCTGGGAAAAGAGGTCAGTGGGGTAAGCGTGTGTGCGCGCGGCTCCGGAGGTGCAAAGGTGCATGGGCGTGAGCACGGGTGGAAGGCAGCGGCCCGGCCGCTGTGGGAAGGGGTGAGTGGCAGGGAGGGGACCCTGGCACCGTGGTTTGCCAGGCGGGGACTTGGGAGGCTGCTTCGTGCCCCCTCCTCCCTAAGCTCTGCCCGCCCCTGGGAGGGCAACAGTGAGGGAGGAGGGCGGAGCCTCGTGCGTCCCTGCAAGGAGGGGTGGGCTTTCCAGCTCTTGGTGGGCTTCGAAGGGCATTGCTGCTAGTGGGTTCTTGCTTGCCCTGAACCCACTCCCCTACACCAGCTCAAGTCCAAGTTCTCCCACCTCCCTCCTGCCCCCTGTCTGTGTGGCCAACCCTCTCCCCTCAGGATCTTCTCCTAATTTCTTTACTTTTAAAAAGAGCTGTATCGAGCTGTAATTCACATACCATCCGCCCATTTAAAAGTGTACAATTCGGTGGCTTTTAGTATGTTCACAGAGTTGTGCAACCACAATCAATTTTAGAACGTTTTCATCACATCAGAATGAAGCCCTGTACCCGTGAGCCGTGACTCCCCATTTTCCTGGCCCAGCCCCCTGATGACCATTAATCTGCTTTCTGTTTCTATAGATCTGCCCACTCTGGATGTTGCTTATTTGCGGAATCACGCATCGTATGGCCTTTTGTGGCTGACACCCCTTTTCCTTTCTAGCTGCATTGCTTACTTGGCATTCAGTTTCAGTTTTCCCTGCCTTTTAGGCTGGAGTTCAGTGACACCATCACGGTTCACAGCAGCCTCAAACTTCTGGCTCAGAAGATCCTCCTGCCTCAGCCTCCCAGGCAGCTGCGACTACAAATGTGTGCCACTATGCCTGGCTGATTTTTTGATTTTTTTTTGTAGAGAGGAGGTCTCCCTATGTTGCCCGGACTGTTTTTGACTCCTGGGCTCAAGCAGTCCGCCTGTCTTGGCTTTCCAAAGTGCTGGGATTACAGGCCCACCCATTTTACTTTTCCTGTGCATTGTTCCTTTAAGAGTGTCCTATCCTCAAGGGCCATCTTCTAGGGCAGGGGTCTTAGGCATTTCTCCCAAGGCCACTTGACTTGAGAGTGCCTTAACCACTGGTTGAATGAATGAGGACGGGAATGGGGATTCGATGGCAAACTATGCAGGTGGTTTACAGTTGAATTCCAGGGCCCCAGCTATTACCAAGGGGGCTAGTAACTTGGGGGGACTGCAGGTATCTATGAAACTGTGAAGGAGCAGAGAGGGTGGGGGTGGGGCAAGTGTAGAAACAGACTCAGTGAGGAAGGAATGAAGTGACCTGTGGGTTGCCACTTCTCGAAGGAACCTGAAAACAAATGTCGCCCCCACTATGTGGAGTAAGTGGCCAGTGCTTGAAATTCGTCACCTAACCACAGGGGCTTCCCCCATGGGGAACTCCGATTAGATTTGGATTAAAAAAAAAAAAAGAAAATTCCCCAGCATCAGCATTTATCAAAGAGCAAAGGCGAGGCACCTCTGAAGTCGTTTGCTTTAGATCTTGATTTTTTTTTTTTTCTGTCTCCACTGCTTCTGTGCTGCAGGTATTGTCTGATGAGTGTAAAAGGTTGTTTCACTGACTTCCACATCGACTTTGGAGGCACTTCCGTTTGGTACCATGTTTTCCGGGGTGGGAAGGTGAGTTCCAGAATTTTCTATGTGTCTCCAGCTGTTTGTGTGTAGAGGGGGTTGTCCACCTTTCCCCTCCCCTCCATCCCCCTCCTCCAGCCAGCCCCTGCCCTGGGAGCCTTTCAAGGTTACTCCTTCTGGAACCACCTCCTGACCTCTGTCTGTCTGGAGAAGGTCAAGGTCAGCTCTTTTGCATCATCATGTCTCGTCACCCACTGATATCTGCCCGCTTGCCCAGTCCAGCGTTCTAAGCACCTCTGGTCTGTTTTTTTTGTTTTTGTTTTTGTTTTCGAGTTGGAGTCTCACTCTGTCGCCCAGACTGGAGTGCAGTGGCCGCTCCCGGCCACCGCAGCCTCGACCCTCAGGGCTCCGGCGATCCTTCTGCCTCAGCCTTCCGAGTAGCCGGAATTACAGGCTCGCGCTACCACGCCCGGCTAATTTTTTGATTTATTGTAGAGATGAGGTCTCGCTGCCCAGGAGGGTCTCGAACCCTCAGGCTCAGGCAGTCCACTCACCTCAGCCTCCCAAAGATGCGGGATTACAGACTGAGCCACCGAGCCCAGCTTGTTTTTTTTTTTTTTTAAATCAGATCCTCTCTTTGTTGTCCAAGCTGGAGTGCAGTGACACACTCTTGGCCACCTCAGCCTTGACCTGCTGGGGTCAGGCAATTCTTCTGCCTCAGCCTTCCAAAAAGCTGGAACTACAGGTATGCCACCACATCCAGCTATTTTTTTTTTTT